GATATTATGTCAAATGAATAAAAGTTCATGAATTTGCAGTGATACTTAAGAAAAAGATTAGGACTCTGTTTTATAGAAGAAGGTCAATAGAAGGTGGCACAGAATAAAAGAATCATAATTTTACAATGTATATTGTAACACTGATTCATACAAGAATGAATTGACATCTTGTATGTCAATTTCTTTTTGCTGATGAAGCAAACTTAATGGCCGACCACACATAGATTTATTATTTTGCAGTTCTGGAGACCAGAAGTCCAAAATGGATGAACATGCCTACATTTTTTAAGTAACTCTAGGGAAAATCTGTTTCTCATTTTTTTCAGTTTCTACATCTATCCACATTCTTCAATCTTATAGCCCCATGTCCTTCCAACCTCTACTTTCATCATGACGTGTACTTCTAACACTGACCTTCCTGTTCCTTATGCGGACACTTGTGTTCACATTGTGCCTACCCAAATAATCCAGAATAACTTCCCGATCACAGGATTATTAATCGAATCATACCTGCAAAGTCCTGTTTTCAATTTAAGATTACATATTCACAGTTTCAGTGATTAGGATGTGGAATGGGGTGTGGGTCCTATTCAGCCTACCATACTTTGCAAAAAGTTGCTTATAAGCAGAATATTGATATTATCTGTTTTAGTTAATTTTTGTGTCACTGTGACCAAAATATCCAGCAAAAATAACTTAAGAGAAGGAAAAGTTTATTTTGGTTCATGATATAAGAAGTCTCAGTCTATAGATGGCAGTCTCTATTGATCTGGGCCCAAGGTGACACAGCACATCTTGGCAGAAGGGCATGGTGGAGGGAAGCTGCTCCCCTCATGGAAGCCAGGAAGTAGAGACAGAGAGATGAGACGAGGGGGAAAGGGCCACTAGGAAGATGCACCCTTCCAGGGCATATACCCAGGAATCCACTTCTAGTCATGACTACCTGTCCAGTTAATACCCAGTCATTCCATTCAATCTAGGATTGACTGATTACAACTCTGTATAATCTAATATCTAATTATTTTACCTCTGAATATTCCTGCATTAGTAGGAGCTTTTGGAGGAAACTTCATATCCAAACCATAACAGAGCATCACCTCACAGATTACTTATTAATGACTTTTATAATTAAGTGTTCTCATTATCATCATCTTAAACCATGGGCCAATGAGAAATTATATACCAACTAATGTTATATAATTTAAAGTACACAAATAACTTATAAGATAATATTACCAAAAAATTTTAATCTAGATTTAAGTAAGCTTTAGCTCTAACTTCCAGCATAAAGAAATGATGCCACAATAAAATAATCAAACACATTTGGGAAATGAAACTTGCTGTATGTCTACTACTCTAGACTCTTCAAAATTGCAATGTCATAAAAAAAGGATGGGAGACATTCTAAATTTTTTAAAAGGATGGAAAAGACATAATAACCAAATGCAATATGTAAACAAAATGGATATTGATACTTAACAATAATTTTAAAGACAATCAGTGGAACTTTAAATATAGTTTAAAAATTAGATCACATTATGGAATACATTAATAACAGCTTCTTATGAATTTATAGATAATGTCCTTATTTTTTAGAAACACACAATTGTCCCATAGTTTAAGATGATGATAATGAGAACACTTAGTTATCTTTATCATCATATTATAACATTTAGTTATAATTAAACTGAGGTATATGATGAGACTCTATGAAGTCAAGCAAAAAGTGATCAAGGGTTGTGAGCTGAACAGTTCCCAGAAATCCTATAATTTGGGGAATTAATCTGAGTTACCTCTAGCCAGCAGAGAGTCTTGTCCTATTTGACCCATTTTGGACTTCTGGTCTCCAGAACTGAAAAATAATAAATCAATGTTATGGTACACCACTTTGTGGTAGCTTGTTACATCAATAACAAGAAATTAATACACACGACGATCCTTGCATGGATCATTGTTACATTATAGTTTGCAAAATCATGATTCTTTCTTTATCACCTTCTATTGTCATTCTTCTATAAAACAGAGCCCCAAACCTTTATTTTTCTTAAAAATCACTACAAATTCATGAATTTTATTCATTTGATACACTATCAGTTACAGTTATGAACATGCTACTCTTTAAAATGGAACAGAACTCTATTACATAGATTAAAAACTACTGTAAGTAGACCCAAGCAAAGCTTAAAAAAATCCTCAAAATGATCAAATTGAACCATAAATAGCCCTAGTCAATGTAACTTGAAGCAAAAAAAAAAAAGAAAAAAGAAAGAAAGAAAGAAGGAAAATTGTCAAATCAAACTCTACCCAAATTTCCAATTCATGAGTAAAATGATTGCCATCTACTAAATTTTGTTACATAACAGGAAATAACTGGAATAATTTTGTACATGCAAGACGTGATGAATGCTTGACTTTTAATCCTTATCAATTTTTATAATAATGAAATGAGTTAGTGCCCTAATGACTTCCAAAGGTATCCCAAAATGTTTTTGTTCGGAATTGCATTCGGAACTAACGGCTTTTCAAAATATGTGATGTATTTCAGCCCATAGAGCCGTTATTCTTACTGATGTTCACATTGGCTGTCCTTGCCCAATGGAAGCCCTTTCAAGTTGGCCACTGTGTCCTTTCAACATTATTTTTGTTATCTTTGATCATTTCCCTGCTTTCTTGGCCAAGAATATCTTTTTTTTTTTTTTTTTTTTGTTCAAACCTGGAATTGATCCCAAAGACTGCTTTCTTTTACTAAGAAACCACATACAAAGACCATCATCTATCTGGTCATTAGACATTCACCGACCCCCAGCAGAAATATAATTTACAAACAAACATGTACATTGATCATAAATCACACATTCCTCATCCATTTTTAAATCTCTGAATTAGAAATGTATATTCAAATTGATGTCATGTAATAATAGGTTGTATTTGTTTAGTAATATGCACCTTATCTATTATCTACTTCATTTAAGATATCTTTCATCTAAGATTAATTGAAATCATATGAAGATTAGGCCTAAGATTAGATGGAATCCAGATTAGCTTTTTATGCTTTATAAAAATAAAACATTTCAGCTTATTTTCCTACAACTTATTTTTCTCGCTATACATTTTATTTAGGAATAATTTGCATAAAACACATAAAATGATTAACATATCAGAATGCTCCCACTTTAAGTCCACAGTTTGATGAGTCACAACTGTATAAAGCCATGTAACCACACTACAATCAAGATACATGCAATTACCATCACCACCCAAAATCTCTCTTGTACACATTAGCAAATCAAACTGATCTGTCTCACAACCATCTCTCCCACCCAGCCTCAACCCTAGGCAATTATTTGTCATACAAACTAGTTTTACCTTTTCTAAAATTTCACAGGAATAAAATTATGCAACAAGTATAATATGTACTCTTTTATGTCTGGCTTCCTGCACTCACTTGTATATCCTTTCATCTACTGAAGATTTGGGGTCTTTCCAGTTTGGAATCATTAAGAAAAAAGCTGCTATAAACATTCATATACGTTTTTATGTGTATGTTATGTTTTCATTTCTTTTGGGTAAATATCTGGGAATAGAATTGCTGGATCCAATGGTAAATGTATATTTAACTTTATAAGAAACTGCCAAACTATCTTCCAAAGTGGCTGCACCACTTTGCATTCCTACCAGCAATATGTGAGGAATTCCAGGTGCTCCATGTCATCACCAATACTTGGTATTGGCAGTAGCAATGATTAGTATGTGGTTTGAATGTGTCCTGGTGCTTCATGTGTTGAAATCTAAACCCCATTGTGGGGTATTAAGAGGGTGGACTTAATCTACTGTATTTGGAGATGGGGTCTTACATAAGGTCATAGGGTATTAACTACCATGACTGAATTCAAGTGGTTTTATCAGGAGAGAGGACAGGCTGGGTGCAGTTGCACATGTCTGTAATCCCAGTGGCTTGTTAGGCAGAGGCAGGAAGGTTACAAGTTTAAAGCCAGCCTCAGCAACTTTGTGAGAGCCTGCCTCAAAATAAAAAAAAATTTAAAAGCTGGGGGCATGGCTGTAAATGTAGCTCAGCAATATAGTACCCCTGGGCTTGATTTCTAGCACCTAATAATAATAATAATAATAATAATAATAATACAAAGCGAGAGGTGGGGGGGTCAGGCACCTGGGTGTTTCCTATACCTAGCCATGTAAGGTCCTACAAGAAAACTATCATCGAATGCAGCTCCTCTACCTTGGACCTCCAGAACCAAACCAAAATAAACTTCTTAATAATTCACCCAGTCTGTGGTTATGTTATAGGAAACAGAAAAAAAGATTAATGCAAGCAATTTATGCCTTTTTGGTGGATTTATAGCAGTTTCTTGTGTTTTGCTTTCCTAATGTCTAAGGATGTTTAGCATTCTTGTCAACTTGAGTATCTTTTACAAAGACTCTATACAAAGCCGGGCATGGTGGCACATGTCTGTAGCTACTCAGGAGTCTGAGGCAGGATTCCAAGTACAAGGCCAGCCTAGGCAATGTAGCAGGACCCTGTACCAAAATAAAATAGAAAGGGCTGGAATGTAGCTCAGTGGTGAAGCACCCCTGGTTCAATCACCAGTTTTGCAGTGGTGGAGAAATGTATTCAAATCTTTTGCCCAATATTTATTGGGCTACTTGATTTTTCATCATTGAGCTCTAAGCATTATTCATATATTCTGGATACGTCCTTGGTCAGATGTATATATTAGAAAGTTTCTCCTAATCTGTGAATTGCTTTTCGATTCTTGAACGAGTGTCTTTCAAAGAGCAGTTTTAATTTTAATAAATTTCATTTTGAAAATTTCTTTCATGGTTTATGTTATGATCTAAGAAATTTCGCCTATTCCAAGAGAGCAAAGAATTTCTCCTTCTTTTTAGAATTTCTAGTTTGGGCTTTTGTTTAGATCTATGATTCATTTGAAATCTAGTTTTACACTAAAATTGTGTACAAAATGGGGCAAGAATTGAGGAAATTCTGTTTGTTGAAAAGACCATCTTTTATTTATTGAATTACTTTGGCATTTTTATCAAAAACCAATTGTCCATATACACACAGATCAATTTCTGAACTCCATATTGTCCATGGGTCCTAAGAATTCTTACAGAATGTATCTATTGCTAACAAATTCTCTCACATTTTCTCTCTGAAAAATCTCACCTTTAATTGTGAAGAATATTTTTCTAAACAAAGAATTCTGGGACAGCAGGGGTTTTTGTTTTTCTCTCAGCACTTATTACATGGAGGTCTCTCACTTGCAGGAATATGTAGACATTCTTATCTTGATTCCTCTGTATGAAATGTCTTTTTCCCCCACCTTTCCATCTGCTTTTACAATTTTGTTTTGCTTGCTTTCAATAATTTCATTTTGATGTACTTGATGAGGTTTCTTTGTTTTAAGTTTTAGTTTGCTTGTTGAATTTCTTGACTCTGGGCTTATAGTTTTTATCAATTAAGGAAAATTTCAGTCATTTTTGTCTCCCTACTCGAACTTCCAGGACTCCAAATACAAGAATGCTAGACCAACCACAGGTGGCTGAGGCATTGTTCTATTTTTTCTTTTTTTCCTCAAAGTGCCTTGGTATGCTTCAAGTTCCCTACTTCAGTTCTGGAAAGGACAATTTGCTATAAATCCATCCATCCTTCCTATCTAGCTAGAGACCAGAAAGTAACAAATACTAGCAGTGCTTTTAAAAAATAAATTTTACATACTGTTGGATTATGGTATAAATGTGTTGGCCATAATAGCTTATTTAAGGACTCTTAATTTAGAAATTGCTAAGTAGTTTGTTTTTAGTAACTTATCCTGTCTATTAGTTTGTAGAGATGTAGAGTCAGAAATGATATTAAATATGACACTAATAATGTGTTGTGATTTTTTTCACTTTGACCTCTTTTGAAGAAGGTGATAACAATCTGTGGAAAATGCTTTATTGTATCATGTCAATATACTGCAAGGAGTATTTCAAAATAATACAAAAGTAATCCACACACTTGATTAAGTGAAATCAGATCCAAACTTTTTCTTCCTTAGTTCTTTATAGCAGTTGCTAAAAGTCCATAAGCTGATTTTTTCCAAGAAAGATTATTCTAGTAACTTTGAGTGTTCAATCCGTGCAATGGTCCAGTCAGGCTTTACTCCTTGTGTAAACTCCCTCTGAAATCTAAGAAAAACATTACAAATGTCAACCTTGCATCAGTCCAAATATTTCTTGGATAATATATAAATTGCAAGTGTGTACTAAAGGCAGTTTTTAACAGTAAGCTAATTTAATAGTGGTAAATCAAAAATCAAAACAAAAAAGTTTAATCTGCCAATTCAGTCATAAAAATATACTGGCCAAATTGCAGTACATTCTCAACTGAAATGAATATTTTTGATGTTCAACATCTGCTAGCCCCTGAAAGAAACCTGGATATAATTCTGTTACTAAATGCTAGTTAAATCCTGTCTAATATAAGCAGAAATATACTGGATTCTGGTGAGGCAAATAGCATTTTAAACATAAGATCTAGTAAACAGGAAAAGCTGTTCTTCAAATAACTGTTACCAATTTAGTAATAACCAGTAGAATTTACTTAGAGACATTAAATCAATCTTTAAAATAGTAGAAGAGACAAGATTTAGTATTGATAGTGATCTTTAATTATAAAAATGTCTTTAAAAAGAGATAATCAGGGCTGGGGTTGTGGCTCAGAGGTAGAGCGCTTGCCAAGCATGTGTGAGGCACTGGGTTCAATCCTCAGCACAACATAAAGTAAAAAAAAAAAAGACATTGTGTCCACCTGTAACTAAAGAAATTAAAAAAAAGAGAGAGATAAAAATTTACATGAAATAAGTATTTAAATATATAAAATATTTTTAGTAATTATAAATAAAGCAAGTTTTTTTTTTCTTTTTTAAACATACTTCTTTTGGGCTGGGGTTGTGGCTCAGTGGTAGAGTGCTCGCCTAGCACACGCAAAGCCCTGGGTTCGATCCTCAGCACCACATGCAATAAATAAAATAAAAGTATTGTGTCCAACTACAACTAAAAAAAATAAGTAAATATTAAAAAAATTTCTTTTAAGAAAAATAAAACAAATGAGAATATAATTCTCTTTTACCTTAGTGAAACAAAACATTTTCTTTCTTAGGTTATTTTTGGAATATGTTATTTTAAAGCAAATTTGTATAACTTTGGCAATATACTAATGGTATCCTCTTTAAAAATTAATGAGACATATTAAATTATGTCTCCAGACTTGACCCAGTTGTTCAGTTTCAAATTTTATCAGCACAAACATATAATACTTCTTTTAAATAAGTTGCTAACTTCCTACAGTTTTGCATCTAAACCCCTACCACAAGATCTGGCACATAAATGATCAATAAACAATGAATGTTCCACATAACAATTATGACAGATTTTATTTTCTGAAGATGACTGCAACCACATCTCCCTCCCAGGTGTATTCAGCAATGTGACACTGATGACTGTTGTTCCATAAAGTGGTGGCTTGCTTCATACCCTTTAAATTGTGCAGGTCATGTGACTGCTTTTATTAGGAGACTGGCAGAAATGATGTTATTTTAATTCTGGGTATATCCCTTTGCTAGCATAGCAGTTTCCATTTTCTTTCTTTTAGAATATAATTATCAGGTAAAAGACATGACTAGCTTGAAACTACCATAAGCCCAAGCTATGAAGAGAGGTACTGGAGAGTGGTGCACTGTAGAGAAGCCAAGGGGTACCAAGGTGCCACATGTGAGAGAAGTCATTGTGGAAATAAATCCTCCTGCCTCTGCCACCCCAGATGATGTCAAGTGAAGCAGAGAAAACCCCAAAACCTGAGCCTTTGTATAGTTTCTGAGTAGTGAACTAGAAGGCAAAATCAATGGCTGTTTGAAGCCACTGACTTTTGGGAGTGGTTTGTTACTCAGTAAAAGATAGCTGAAATACCCTCTGATAAAATTCAGCAATATTACCTCTTTCTAATTACTTTGCACTACTAGTTCATATTCAGTGTCTTTACGACCTTTTTTCTTTATAAATAACATATTAAATTTTAATCCTTTTCTTCCTAAAGCTGTCTTTAGTTTTCATACCTTCATACGGACTTCCATTTTCTAGAGAAAGAAAACACCAAAGTACGATTGCACTTACTCATAGCTTGCACTAAGAAGCTGTTTAGTCTCCACGTTCTGATCCCCCAATTTAACCTGGAATACACTGGCTCCACTCAAAGTTTCACTGGGGATGTTGGCACTGGTTAGATACCAAAAGCACATCAGGATGTTAACGAACTTCCTTCCTTAGAGAAAAAAACACACACACACACATACACAAATACAAATCACAATAATCTATCATCCATATAGCCAAACTAACATCAGAAATTGGCAGTAGTTATATAGCTATTATAGATCAAAGTTTATACAAATTCTGGTATACTGTTAAGATACCTAGATTGATACTTTATTTGTTTATTTATTTTTAAATATTTTTTTAGCTGTTGATAGACCTTTATTTATTTATTTTTTATGTGGTGCTGAGGATTGACCCCAGTGCCACACACATGGTAGGCAAGAGCTCTACCACTGAACCACAACTCCAGCCCTGATACTTTATTTTTAGAAAATTTTCTTTGGGCTTGTGATATATTTGTCCTCCTCTCTGCATCTCAGTAATAAAGCTACTGTTTATCAACATATACTTTATTAAGCACACTACATGGAATATTCCCAATTTATAGCATTTTTAAAAATTATAACAATTTACAGCAGGTATCTGTTGTCAAGACAAAAACAAACAGGAAAAATCATTTCTTTTCTTTTCTTTCTTTCTTCTTTTTTTTTTTTTTTTTCTGCTATGTAATTAACTTATGCTCAATTGCCCAAAAGAAAAAAGACTTCTATTCCACCCTGATTTACTCTGCTTTGTCAGGCAATTCTGACAATATCCTGTGTAAAAATCAGTAACCACAGTGCCAGGATGAAATATGAAATATTAGGGTTGAATAAAATACTCTTATCACCAAAAATACTTTTACAAATGTTTCAAATTAACATGTGCATTAAAAATTTCCAACCATTGAGTCCTCTATCATACTGCCTTGGGAATATGAAAGCAGAGGCTAGATTTCTGATGTCTCTGGCACATATTGCATATTGCAAATGTAGAAGGAATCAATGAATTCTCAGGAATGTTATAGGGGAAGTGTACTCAATGAACAAGGAAAAGAATTGATAACCACTAAGGTTCCTTGAAAAGAACTGATAACCACTAAGGTTCCTTTCAACTTTTTCCATTATCCCTAAATCCAATCTGGGAGTTCTATAGTTAACATTTTTCTTTCCATATTATATTAGTCTTGAGCTGATAGTATCTACTTTTTCTTTTACTCTTTACTCCTTCCATATAATGTGTAGCTGTAAATTTAAAATGCTCAATTGTTCCTTCAAGTTAGGAGATCTGAAACAAATATTTCTAATCTACACCATGGAAGCAGCTTGTCCTAAACAGACAATTTCCAAAGCATGTGATGATGTTCTCTCTTGTGTATTACACAGCAGTTGGGAAAATACCTACATAGAAAGGCATTAAAAACATTAGCATAGCTCAACTTTTTTAGAGCTAGGTCTTAAAGAGTGAATATATCATTTCCTTTGAAGTTCTAAAAATATCTGCTTGTACAGCAAAACCACTATTTTTGTGATTATTCACTACTTAAGCTCATCTGAACAATTGGGGATCATTTAAGATGGACTACTCCAGCATTACCTTTCTCATCATAGTAAATGGAGATGTCTCCTGTTGATGTATAGACAATTTCATCTATGTCAGCAGCAAGAGCATTTTTATGGTTATCAGGCAGTGAAGAAACCTTTTCTTTTAATACATGAAGCACCTAAGTTTGGGAAAAACAAACCATTAGATTACCAATTCAATTTTTGAAAATATTTCAAAATATGACCTTTATTATAGAATGAATTTTTCTAAATCTGCTTTTAAATTTACTATCATATCTACTGATCCTACAGGCAACACTGAAAGGCATCTAAATATTCAACTAGGTAATTCCTACTAGAACATTACACATAAAAGCAACTGAAAGACATCACATTTACTTATTTATGCCTCAAGTAGGTGCAACCATTCCAGCTTTTATATGACCCAAAATACTCATAAGGAGTATGAGACAATTTCAGATTCTACTTTGGTTGATGGTACATGCACTATTTTTTTTTTTAATTTTATTTTTTTTCAGTTTTTGGTGGACACAACATCTTTATTTTTATTTTTTTATTTTTATGTGGTGCTGAGGATCGAACCCAGCACCCCGTGCATGCCAGGTAAGCGCACTACCACTTGAGCCATATCCCCAGCCCCTATATGCACTATTTTTAACTATAAGTTAAGAGTGTGTAATATTATATTGCAAGAGTCATATATTTATTTTTAAATAAAAATTAAAAGTTTATTTTACCTCTTTGGCCACAAGTTCTTCCAATAGATCAAATTTACACTGTGACAACAACTTGGATACATGAGCAAAAGCCTTGAAAAAAAAATAGGAGGGGAGAGTGACAATTATTATTTCAAAATGCCATACAATATTCATATCTAAATGGCTAATAATAACAAAGGGTATTTTATGGTAAAGGTGATAAAAAATGTCAAATACTAATGGATCAATGCTAGGCATGACTTCTTTAAAGTTAGCTGTTTTTATAGTCTCAGAACCTGGAAGATGATAGGATGTGATGATGTTCATACTAGATACTTCAATAAAAATACTCCATATATATTTTCTTTTAAAATAATGATAAAATAAACAACCATTTGACTAATATATAACCCACCTCTTAATCATATAGGTAGCAGTTAGAAAGCATGAAACTCTAAAATGTACTGGGAATCTAGAAATCTGGATTGCAGTCTAAACCTCATTGAGAAAAATAAGGTATGTTTACGAAAGTAGAAAGAGAAAAAGTGTACAGTTGATGGCTCCTAACTTTGAAAGAGGAGGTCTCATTTTAAAGGGAGTGGGGAGTGAATGCAATTCTCTACATTCCTAACAATGAGAAATGCAACAGTAAATTATGACCCTCTGAGCTGGAGTTGTAGCTCAGTGGTAGAATACTTGCCTACCATGTGTGAGGCACTGGGTTCCACTCTCAGCACTGCATATAAATAAATAAAATAAAGGTTCGTGAACAACTAAAAATATATATTAAAAAAGAGACCCTCCTTGTCTTCCAGAATCTTTCAGTCTACCTAGGGTGCAAGACATGTTAACTGACAAGTTCAAGAATTATGACAGAACTAAGAACAGGATGATGATTTAAGAGGATTCAAAAGAGCCACCTAACCTAACCTGGAAGGACCAGAAAGGGCTTCCTAAAGAAAGCAATGTCTCCGCTGAAATCTGAAAAACTGGCAGAAGGAGATGCATAGATACATCAGACAGAGGATATGGCCTAATTGTTATGGGCTGAATTGTGTCCCTTTCATTCTTTTGTTGAAATCCTAATCCCCTGTATTTGGACATAAGGCCTTTAGAGAAGTGATTAAGTTAAAATGAGGCTGTTAGGGTGGGTTCTAATCCAATTTGTCTGGTGTTCTTATGAGAGGGCGTAATGAAGACACACAACAGAGATCCAGGGACACAAACATGCAGAGGAAAGACCAGCAAGAATAGAGCAAGAACAAAAGCCAGCTGCAAGAAAAGGCAAGAGGCTCAGGAAAAACCAACCTTTCTGATACCTTGATACTGAAATTCTATTGTTGAAGCTGCCCAGTCCATGCTACTCTGCTATAATAGCCCTAGCAAATTAGTGGAGTTGCACTTTGAGAAAATGAACACATCCAGATGAATCCATGGATTCTTTGCAAACATCCTGGAGGCATTCAGAATTCAGAGATACTGCATGTTCTGGTAAGCTTTCATGTGAAAGATGGGTGATAATTTAGGCAAAAGAAGCAAAGACCATAATCATTTTTGTTGAAACCCAACCATTAGAGTCTAAAAATTTGTATAGCCAAGGAAGATCACACCTGAGCAAATTATTCTAAAAAGAAACAGTGAATCATTAAGAAGCTGCCCTGATAAAGTTCTGGGAACTTACTAGCATTCAACCTCTAGAGGCTTCTAGAAATAGTCTTCTTTTTCATAAGAAAGGCTAAAATGTACACAATATAAAAAAACAGTATATGGTTTGATAGCAATGATAGGGAAGATATCATGTCATGTGGAATAGCAAGCAGGGTCTGTGAAGGCTAGTAGAACACTGGGCCATCAATTCCTCAATGCTAGCCTAGATGATATGTAACCATCCCAGATGCCAGTGATGCTGGAAGAAGATTGCTTGTACAGTGCAACACAGGCAGTGTACTTACTAGCTACACATCCTTGAGATATCTTTCCAGCTTTCTGGAAATGTTTCAGCATATGTAAAGGAAGATTAGACTAGAAGAGGTATCTTTTCAATTTCATGTTGTATGATTAAAAAATAAAAATCTTACTGAACATGATCTAACTGACAGTCAAAATCCAACAACATCTAACTTCTGGAAGATTAAACTAAGGAAAAAGAGAAAGACAATGCAGGTAGAGAAACTAGCTGATTTTATATCAAAATATTCCCAAGCCCTAGAATTATATCCACACACCAGAAGGTATAATTGCATTTTGACAGTTAGCTACAGAGAAGGGGTTTTGGTCATGTTCTTTTATAAAACCATAGAAATTATCTTGGGTGTTGAAGAACTGATTTTCTTGGTCCGAAACACAGGTTTAAGAGACAATATGCTGACACCAGACAGTCTTTTTGAAAATCAGAATAGTTGTCAACACAAATTGACTTAGAGTAAAAAAAAAAAAAAAAGTACACAAAGACTGGATGATGGAATAGAAATAGTTTAATCTCAAGGAGAGAGGCTAAAAAAGTTAACAGACAGGGTTAGTGTGATCCAAAAGTACTCCAATCTCTATGTATTCAGAGAAACAGGGGCTAAGGCCTGATTCCTGCTCAAGGTGGGGAGATGATTTGCATTCCTTACCAATACATAAATGAGCTGGTACAATCACATCTGTTAAGGTGGACAAACTCATGTCATTAGCAGGCACTGTAGAAAATAGCAGGAAAATAGCACACCAACAACTGACCTTGAGACCCAACATGAGCAGAGACTTAACACTTTATCATAATGTTGAGTAGACATATTAATCAAACTTGTGCTTTGGTTTATTTTTTTATAAACATATAATAGTCAAGAGTTGACTCAGGGACACAGGAAACAGGAGTTACTACTAGCGCTGATTACATAAAGTTAAAAATATTTATTAAAGGTGGCATAACTAAACTGGCTGAGATTATAAAAATAATTGGAAATAAATTAGGAGTAAAAATATCAATACTGTAAAATGATCATACTGATGGTATGATTATAAGCTTTATGTAGGTATTAAATGGAAAACAAACTGACTTGTTTATCAATAGTTACATCATGTTTGGGAATGACAAACTAAGAGAATCTATTAAGATTGAGATGGCCTTTGATTCTACAAAAATGCATGTACACACAAAACCTGCAAATTATCTCAGGGTTCAAAGTGACCATTATGTGGCAAGAGTCAGGCAAGGTATTATCAGTCACTCAGAAAGAGGGCCATAACAAAGTCAGGGGGCTATGAATTACTAAAAGCTAAATATTCCTGGTGTGCTGGGTACTGTGCACTTATCAGAGCCCAGATAGTTTCAGCAAACTGTTTGAAAGGGTAAAATTACTCATCCCCAGGTTATCCTCTAAGGAGTTGTGGAGGCGGTGGGGGGGTCCTGTCAAAAAGTTTTAGGAAGGGCTGGAGATGTGGCTCAAGGGGTAGCGCCCTGGCCTGGGATGCACGGGGCGCTGGGTTCGATCCTCAGCACCACATAAAATATAAAATAAAGATGTTGTGTCCACTGAAAACTAAAAAATAAATAAGTATTAAAAAACTCTAAGAAAAAAAAAAGTTAGGAAGTTTCGACTTTCTATCCGAAATGATATTCTAGTAGTTTGAAAGTGTTATCTCATTCCCCACCATAATCTCTTCCACTCAATTTATTCAGTAACTATTTCTGGAGTGTCTACTATGTGTCTTCTCCATTTTGCAAATTTGAAAAATCATGCCCCGAAAAAGATCGAATGGCTTTGAAGTGTCAGGAATGGGTCTCAAATCCATTTGTCTGATGTAAATCCTGTAGAGTGAAAAAGACCACTGGGGGACTTCACCTTAGCCTGTTATTGGGACATCTCCTCTGCGACCATGTAAACACACCCAGGTGCCCAAAGGGCTTGGTGTCTGTGTCACCAACAACGTTTGATTAATTTGACTTTGAGTGAGGTGACCCCAATCAAAACACTTCTGTGTGTAACAGCTGAATGCGTGAGAGGAGAACAGTCACCTAGGGAAACAAACCTGCTTCGCCCCCTCAGAGAATTCTGCGATGCTGAACTCCTTGTCGAAATAGGCCCAGATAAGGAATGCATAAATTCGAGTCCGAACCCAGTTGATGGGGTTGGAGAATCCCAGAATGATCATCTTGGTTTTCTGGCGTTGCTGGGGCTGCTCCTCCGTGCTGTAGTCGCGCCGAGAGCAAACAGGGTAAGCAGCAAGGGCTGCGGGGAGTCTCGGGGAGCTGAGCAGGGGTCGCCGGCGGCCCCGAGAAGGCAGCACCAGGGCCTCCAAGTTCCAAGTGCTGCGAGGAAACGGCGCCAATCCGGAGCCTAGGCGGCGGCTGCAGAAGTAACAAAGCCCGGCCAACCGCAGCCTCACTTCGGCCGCACCGGGTGCCCGGAGTCGGATAAGCCCGCCGGGAAAGGACCCAGTAAACAGCGGACTGAGTAGCAGACGGGAGGCCAGCGCCATATTTATGACCTTTCACCCCTCTGCCTGCCTGTGCCCGCTGAAAGGAAGCCGATGGGAAACCACCTAGCAGTTTCCGAGCAAGGGACTGGAGAGCAAAGCTGACCTGTTGCTGCCACCTCTGGTGAATCCGTCCATCGCCGCTCTCTAGCACACAAGCCCTTCGGCTTCCATCCCGGCGCACAGACAGCTGTCCTCTGGAGTCCGCCGGACTCGCGGACCTTTTCTCCTCAAGTCGTGTTTCCGAGCGGATCACACGCTGACGTACGCTTTGGAGCCAAAGTTCCGAGGCCTTCGAAGAAGGGAACGTGAGCTACCATGACCGGGCAGCGCATCCCGGTACCTCGGCTCGAGGGCGTTACGCGGGAGCAGTTCATGCAACATTTCTACCCACAGGTGAGGCCCTTATGCGGGGCACATCCGCGGGAAGCCAGGAGATACACGTCCGTACTAAACCAGCCCCCAACTGGTTTCTTGTGGCTCAGGGTGTGGGGAAAAGGCAGCAGGCTGCAGCCATGACAAGGTCGGCTCCTTAGCCAAAAGAGAGGGCGCTTGGGGCATGTCGACTGGTTCATTTGTTTAAAATACCGGAAAAAACAACCAATTCATGGTTTCTGCGGGGCACGCTGACCCCTGGGTGGAGAATCATTTTGCTTAACTTCCTTACTCGCTGCGAATAGCGGCTTCATACAGAGCTGAGAAGACGTCTCCCATTACCGTGGCCGTGGGTGCTCATCTTCTGCCGGGTTTTCTAAATTGGAGGGCAGAATTTGCGGCTTCCCTGTTGGTGCGAAGGGCACCTGTCCATCCACTCCCGAGTTGGTAGATTTGGAGGTGCAACTTTTCACTCCAAGGAGACATCAGGGGAAGCAATAGAAATCTCCAGAAAAAATTTCCACCGGTCTTGGATTTTAACTAACCTGGATTGTATTCCAGACGTTGGAATCCCTCATTTCTCTAAAACTCAAGAGAAATATTAAGGCGAAAAAAATATTTTTACATGAATTGTATTGTACGAAGAGTCTAGACTTAAAGGAGAATTTAGGAACCCAGCAGGCATTTTAATAATAATAATAATAAAGAAACGTTACAAAAGTGTGTCTAAGGTACGACAAGACAAAACAATAATAACAAAAATCTCCTAGCAATTTTCCTGGATACTTACATCTATTAGGGCGGTCACAAAACTGCAGTTCTGAGAATTACAAGTCAGGGTTGAAGGGTTTTTTGTTGTTGTTGTTGTTGACAACCTACAGGAGACATTCATTCAACATTTATTTTGGAGAGTAGGGATAGATGGATTGTTCCTGCTCTCTAGTCCCCAATTTCTATATACTAGTCATATAATGCCTACAAGGCATTGTGAAGATAGAATTATGTATGTGGAAGTGTTTTGTAAGATGCAGAAAAAAAGATATTTTGTAACTTCCTAGACAAGATATAATATGTCACAAAGGAAACGTTAAGTTTCATAAAGTAGAAAATTACAAAGAATCTTCTCTGGTTATACTGCAGTAAAACTAAAAATTAATAACAAAATTGGAGAAGAACTTTTTGCCCAAAACACTAAAAAGAAAAAGATGATTGAATATAGTCCTATCAGATTTTTTAACATATTCTAATAACTATAATTGTGAATGGTACCAGGTACATGAATAGACAGATCAGATAAATAGAATAAGAAGTCCAGAGAACTCAATATTGCACTTTCTCTCTGTATATATTCAGAAATATATAGTATGTAATGAGCATGGCATTTCAAAATTTATTGGGGCAAAAATTGGTTTTTAAATAGACTTTATTTGTTTTGGTACCAGGAATTGATCCACTGAGCCACATCCCTAGCCCTATTTTGTATTTTATTTAGAGACAGGGTCTCACTGAGTTGCTTAGTGCCTCATTTTTGATGAGGCTGGCTTTGAACTCGCAATCCTTCTGCCTCAACCTCCTGAGACACTGGAATTACAGACGTGAGCCACTGCACCCAGCTTAGACTTTACTTTATAAAGAAGTTTTAATTTCACTTTGGAATTGAGCAGAAGACAGAGATTACTATATACTTCCTATTCCGGAACATGCATAACCTCCTCCACCTGAGTGATACATTTGTTACAGATCATTTTCAGAGGGTTCACTCTTGGTGTATGTTCTGTGGATTTAGACAAACTTATAACACATACTCATCACTGTAGTATCATACAAAGTAGTTTCATTGCTCTAATGTTGCTAAGGTAACTGAAAAGTCATTTATAAAACAATAAAATTAGCTGGGCCTCATGGCCCACATCTGTAATCTCAGTAACTCTAGAGGCTGAGGCAGAAGTATTGAAAGTTCAAGGACAGTTTCAACAACTTAGACACTGACTCAGAATTTTTAAAAAAAAATTTTAAAGGTTTGGGAATGTATCTTACTGGTAAAGCACCTCTGAAGAAGAAAATATGGATAAATTCCTCTATAATCTAGGTCTCTAGGAGGCCTTATAACAGTACCAAAAAAAAAAAAAAAAAAAAGAAAATGATAAAATTAGATATATCCCACCATATGCAAGAATAAACTACAGGTGAGCCCAGCATAGTGGCATACACCTGTAATCTCAATGGCTCTGGAGGCTAAGGTGGAATGATTGTGAGTTCAAAGCCAGCCTCAGCAATTTGGTGAGGCTAAGCAACTCTGAAAGACCCTATAGCTAAATACAATATTTTAAAAAATGTTTAAAAAAAGTGGGGGGCTGGGGATGTGACTCAATTGTTAAGTGCCTCCACAGTTCAATCCCTAGTACCAAAAAAAATAAAATAAAATAAAATAACTGCTGGTAGATCAGAAGAACTGAGACTATACAAGTTGTAGAAGGAAATATGGATAAATTCTTCTATAATCTAGGTTTCTAGGAGGCCTTATAACAATAACTCAAAATTCAAGTGTAATAAAAGATTAATGTTTGAGTAGAAAAGAATTTATATGACAAACACTAGAAGCAAAGTTGAAAGATATACAAACTGGGATATTGTAACTTAAATCTCATAAAGGGTGTAAAAAAAATTGGATATAAAGAACTTTATTTTTAAAATTTTCTCTTTTTAAATTTGTTCTTTTTAGTTTTACATGACAGTAGAATGTATTTTGACATCATACATACATGGAGTATAACTTCCCATTTTTGTGGTTATACATGATGTGGAGTTACACTGGTCCTGTATTCATGTATGAACATAGGAAAGTTGTGTCTGATTCATTCT